CTCTGGCCGGGCTCCCTGCCACTCTGCCCTCTTACTGTAGGTCTAGAAGCAATGCGGCCCACGTATCATGGACTGAAACTTCCCGAACAGAGGAAAACAGAGCTTGCTCTTGTCGCAGTGATGGACAAGTGACACATTCTGCCTCTGCTGAGGACCCTGACCTGAGTCTTCTGCCTAGTCTGACTGATCTGTCCACTCTTCCAAGTTTTCCTTCTTTATCTAAGACAGCTATTTTACTCCCTGACCTGAAATGTCAGGGTGGTATTGATTTTCTAATTCACCACCTTTATAGCTCAGTTTATTTTGTGTGCTCGATCAGATACCATTTTAGCAACTTTTCTATTGCTATGATACAACGCATAAACAATATAGAAGGAAGGGTTTATTTGGGCTTACAGCTCCAGAGAGGTAGAAGTCCATGACCACTGTGGCAGGGAGCATGGCAGAGGACAGGTAGGAATGACTGGGGCAGCAGCCGAAAGTTCACAACCCGATCTACAAGCAGAAGGCAGAAAAACACATTGGGAATGGCATGGGTCTTCTAAGCCTCAAACCTACCCTTTGTGACACATCTTTGGGAACAAAGCCACACCTCCAAATCCTTCCCAAATAGTTCCATCAACTGGAAACCAGGTATTCAAATGTATTAGTCTATGGGGGCATTCTCATTTAAACCACCACAGATACCTAATGACAAGAGCTTGTCTCTACCCCTGTTCATATGTTGAAGTTTTACCTCCTCTCCATGGGTTTGTACTTGGAGGTAGGTTCCTTAGGGAAGTAATTAAGTTGGGGTAAGTCAGAAGAGTGGTACCTAATGCCACCTAAAGATGGCTTAGTGGTTACCATCATTTACTGCTCTTGTAGAACTTTAAGATCTGGGCATGGCTCCCCAAATCCATGTCAGATGGTTCATAAGTGCCTGTGATTTCAGTTCAGGGGCACTGATGGCTTTTTCAGGCACTTGCACACACAGTGTACATATCAACAAGCAGACAAACATACATACATATAAATAAAAATAAAACAAGAAAACAAAAAAAAAATAACAAGGGTGAAGCCCAGAAGGTCAGGGCAGAACAGAACACATTCTCTTCTCTTTAATCAGGCACCCAGGTGGATGTCTTCCAGACGAGAAAAACCCTTGGTAAAAACTGAACACTTAAAAACATTCATCTTGGACATAGAGCCTCTAGAACCACAAGGAAATACATTTTGCTAGTTACACATCAGTACGTAGCTGCCAAGATTCTCAGTGGATGTCTGAAAATGCAGATAATATCCCAGCACACACACACACACACACACACACACACACACACGCACACGCACATGCACATGCATACACACATATATACCTACATATATGCATACAAAAATAATAAAGTAAAACAATTATAACAACATACTATAATAAGTTGCTTAAAACTTGTGAAGTTCATTTCCAGAATTTTCCACTTAACATTTTCAGACTGAAGTTATTCTCAGGTAAAGGCTACCTCAGAAAGGAAAAAGCATGGTTCATGGAGGGCTACCACACGAAAGGTACCTGGGTCAAGGTATTTGACTCTGATTACCTGAACTAATGCATGGCTGTGCATTTTTAGCAAGGCTCCTACCCACAGAGTTAGAGGTTCAAGTCGGGCAGAAGTAAAAAGGTTCAGTTTATGTTGGTTTTGGGTACAAAAGCAAACATTTGGTCACTGTTATCCAGCAAACTCCATCCTGTCCTCTGCTCCTGGCAATATGCTGTGAGTGTCAGCATGGTTCTGAGGCACGAGGAAAGGGTCTTACCTTTCACCTCCATGCTGCTCTCTGAAATCCCTTCAGATGTCAAGTCTTTGGAGAATCTAGCATCCCATAACCTCTTAGATGTAGTCACCGGTCCTCACTACTCTGGCTCTAGCTCTTGCTTCTCAGTTTGTCTTTCTTATCTCTTGCCTTTATCTAGTATATTGAAGAGGAAATAGACTGGGGGGGGTTAAGCAACAGGAGCAAGGTTGCACAATTGATAAATAATAGAGCTAGAGTTCAGGCCCAGTTCAGCTTTGCCCTGATTTCTTCAGACTTCAGAGGACGGCTGGTTAGTGCTCTTTCTGTCTGGCCAGGATTACAATATTCTGAGTTCTGGGTATTTATGAAACTGTCCTATGACCACCCCTCAGCTGTAAATTCTCTGAGGATACACTGTGACACTCTTTCTGATATCCTGGGCCCTGGCTAGCCCTTTCAATAATGCATACTGCCCTGGAAGTGGAAAACGACAGCCTCAGCGGAGACATTGGCTGTTGTATCTTAGGACGGATGGGGGACTTATAGTAGGATGTGGTGGCTCTGAAGTGATGGGAGGAATTCATATAGACGAGAAGGAAGTGGTATGAGGTAGGCCTCAATGTCGTGGGTCTGATGCTAACCTGTGGAAAGAGCTGGGGGGAAACTACTATATCTGGATAGTGATCACTGTACACCTTGGACAAGGTACTTCTTCAGATTTTATTTTCCACTGTGTGGAGCAGGACAATTAAGAGCACCACTATATTATTATTAATAATAGCATGATCTGAAAGTTCAGCGATGTGCGCTGATTTAGTTCTCTGAGTAAGTTAACCGTCTCAGGGGAACAACTTAAAATGTCATTGCTGGGGGCTGGAGAGATGGCTCAGTGGTTAAGAGCATTGCCTGCTTTTCCAAAGGTCCCGAGTTCAATTCCCAGCAACCACATGGTGGCTCACAACCATCTGTAATGAGGTCTGGTGCCCTCTTCTGGCCTTCAGGCATACATGCAGAAAGAATATTGTATACACAATAAATAAATAAATAAATAAATAAATATTAAAAAAAATGTCATTGCTGTTGACCAAAACAAAACCGTTTAAATGCACGAAGAGCCAGTGGAGAGGAGCCTCAGAAGAAAGCTTACCTAGCATGTGAAAAGCCCTGAACTAAATCCCCAATACAGAATAAACTGTGCACAGGTTTAATCCTACCAGGCTGGGAGAACCAGAGTTTAAGGCTATATTTAGCTAACTTAGTGGGTATGATGCCAGCCTGGCGTGGGTGATACCTTGTCTTAGAAACCAAAACAAAACCAAATTTAAAAACAAAAACACTGGCGGGTGGTGGAACATGCCTTTTCTCCCAGCACTTGGGAGGAAGAGGCAGGAGGATCTCTGTAAGTTCGAAGCTGGCCTGGTCTACAGAGTGAGTTCCAGGACATCCAGGGCTGTTAGTTACATAGAGAAACGAGGGGTGGGGGGAAGAAAAGGGTAAGGAGAGAGGGGGAGGGGAGAAAGAGAGGGAGAACACTAACAAATTCTCAAACACCTGTTACTATGAATTTTCTAATAAATGGATATCAGGAGTTTCAAATACAAGTGAACTTTACAATGGAGTCCCATGTCAAAAATCTTAGACTGTAAACTAGCAGGAAGCAGGGGAGTGCTGGACATTCTCTGGGTGCAGCTGACTTGAACTTTGGATATATACAGGAGAGCATTCCCACTCCGTTTCCACACTAGGCTCTTAATGGGGTTGTGTAAAACACTTAAGAGTATTTTGGCTTTTCCACTCCGAGGCTATAACGTGGCTATTGCCTAACTTAGATCGGTTCATGAGTGTGTGGCAAGGAAGTAGGTGCAGGGCTGCTAGTGACAATAGATGCCCATGTCTGTGAAGCCTGGCACCCTGGAACACCAAGTTCTGCTTCATCTGCTAAGTCGTCAGGCCCATTTCAGGCTTCTTATATGTGGGAGTCATGTGCCAAATCGGCGATTTTACAATACCACCTGGCCATTCTGGGGTGACTCCCGACAACACCGGCTCTAAGGTAACAGGGAGCCACCAAAGATGTTTTTGGCTGGTCCAGAAATGTGATAAAGATGACTTGATGAAACAGTGTGTAAACCGGCTAGCTGACTTGCTTCCATTGTATTGGAAGAAGCCCGTTTGGTGAGCCGTGGTGATCTCCAGGTACTAAGCACCGTCCCGGCTTTAGAGCCCAAACAGGGGGCTCGTTGGCACCCATTGTCAGGAACACAGCTACAAGCAATCACAGGGGCTGTTTTGGAGTCGGCCTGGCGGTCAAGTGATGCTCAGCGAATCCTCTAACTGCAACCTTGTCACAAATCGAGCCTGGAAAAGAGAAAGGAAAGGAAAACCCGGTGGGGAAAGGGGAAACGAGGGGCTCCGCGACCAATAGGCGGCGGAGGGGGAAACCGGGAGAGGTGGGTGGGGACCGACGTAGGTCCCGTAGCCCGCTCGGGCACACCCTTTCCCCGGCGCGGCGTGGGTCCGTGGCCTCGCGGCCGTGGGGCTCCTCGCAGTTCTCCATTCATTGTTAGCAGAGGCAGGGGCGTTCCCTCGAGCCCCGTACCTCCTCCGGGAAGGCCCCGAAGGCTCCCCAGCCCCACCCAGGGCCCGGCCGCCGTCCCGCGGAGGTCCCCGCCGCCCCGCCATTGTTCGAGCCCCACCCCTGCTGAATATTCACGCGGCGCGGGCGCGGGCGAGGGCGAGAGCCGGGTTCCGCCCGCTTTCCCGGCCAGCGGAGGAGG